TCTCGCTGGGCATCTTTCTGGTGCTGACGTTGCACCCCGGGTCGGCGAGCACCGGTGATAAGACCCGGAAGGATGACGGGCCGGCGTTGACGAGGAACATCACCACGGAGGATACGATTCTCGATCTGGTTCGGTAAGTGGGAAACAACTGGAAAAAGAGGGTTCGAAAAGAGCTAACTAACTAACAACAAACATCCCCAAAAATAGAAACCTAGTTCCCGACAACGTCGTCGCGATGACCTTCTCCCAGGCGGCCACCCACCTGAAGCCGCCCAAGAGTGGCCCTACGCCCACAGACCTCCACGAGTGGAACATCAAGATCGGCGAGGTGGGCGGAACGAACGTCCTCGGCATGGTCGTCATCAGCATTCTGCTCGGCGTCTTCGTCGGCGGCCTGCAGCGAGACTCAAAGCCTCTTCTGCTGACGCTCTTCAACGACATGAGCGAGCTGACACTCCGGCTCACCGGGTACGTCATTCAGGCGACGCCCATTGGCGTGGCCTTTCTGATCATGCCGCGCATCATTGCGGTGGAGGACGCGGGGGCGATGTTCCGCTCGGTGGGCTTCTTCACGCTGACCATCATTCTGGGCCTGCTCATCCACGGCTTCATCATCCTGCCGGGCATCTACTACACGATAACGCGAAAGAACCCCTACAAGTTCACGATGGGAATGTCTGAGGCGCTGTTGACCGCCTTCGGCACGGCCTCCTCGACGGCGACGCTTCCCGCCTCCATCAACTGCCTGGAGAAGAAGAACAAGGTTNTCCGAGGCGCTGTTGACCGCCTTCGGCACGGCCTCCTCGACGGCGACGCTGCCCGCCTCCATCAACTGCCTGGAGAAGAAGAACAAGGTGAACCGCAATGTGGTGCGCTTTGTGGTGCCCATCGGGGCGACCATCAACATGGACGGGACGGCGCTCTACGAGGCGGTGGCGGCCATCTTCATCGCCCAGTCGACGCCCGGCTACTCGATGGACTTTGTGAAGGTGGTCATCGTGAGCATTACCAGCACGGCGGCCAGCGTGGGAGCGGCGGGCATACCGCAGGTAAGGTTCAGTTAGGAGCAAAAAATTGACACCTAAGCTAAAGCTAAGCTAACTCTAACGCTAAAGTATAGAAAGTAGAAAAAGAGGTGGTCACTTACATTATAATGATTCGATGTTCCTGGGGAAGCGTCGAGTCCATAGTTTAAACTTCGGCAGCCTAAAGACGATCCAAATTCGATCCAGATTAGTTGATTCCATCAGTGTTCAGAGACTAAGATAAAATAGAAATTCGGGTGATGAGGATGAAATCGAAACACACAGCGATTTTACCTGTTTGAGCGCGAAACGGCGATTGAGCGAGGGAAAACTAGAGCAGCCTAGATTTTTCTAAACTTCCGAAACATTTCCCAACACTACCCTCTTTTCTTCGGAAACTTTTCCCATCATGTTTTGACCTTCTTATCTTACCTTAAAAAAAATCTCTTTCCTAGGCAGGCTTGATCACCATGGTGATCGTGCNTAAAATAGAAATTCGGGTGATGAGGATGAAATCGAAACACACAGCGATTTTACCTGTTTGAGCGCGAAACGGCGATTGAGCGAGGGAAAACTAGAGCGGCCTAAATTTTTCTAAACTTCCGAAACATTTCCCAACATTACCCTCTTTTCTTCCGGAAACTATTCCCATTATGTTTTGATCTTCTAATCTTATCTTCCAAAAAATCTCTTTCCTAGGCCGGCTTGATTACCATGGTAATCGTTTTGAACGCCCTTGGCTTGCCGCCGGAGAACATCGGCCTCGTCTTCATCATCGACTGGCTGGTAGACCGCTTCCGCACCGCCATCAACGTTCTCGGCGACGCCTACGGCTCCGCCGTGGTGGAGCACCTCAGCCAGGCGGACCTGGCCGCCTTTGGCGCCCTCGAGGCGGCCGCGAGGAAGCCCAACGAACCTGAACCAGAGGAGATCGTCCTGACAATGTCCAGTCCGGTGAGGACAACCCCGACCTTGACCACCACCACCACGACTTCAGCTTCAGCCCAGGATAATCCCGCATTTGACGGCGGCCTGGACAGCGAGAATGAGAAGCTCTGAAAAAATAAACAAACGCCATTTTAAGTTTCACTTTTACTCACACTTTTTTCTGTTTTTCACGCCATCATATTTTCTCTTTTTAAACACATAAACAAGTTTTCGAAATTCTAGGCTTTTAGTTTTGTTGTTGTATTTACAATTACAATTTAAAAACATTCTACATTGAATGAGTAAAGTATTTTAATAATAGCAGTGTGTGAAAGAGTATAGATAGTAAAGANCCGCATTTGACGGCGGCCTGGACAGCGAGAATGAGAAGCTCTGAAAAAATAAACAAACAAACGCCATTTTAAGTTCCACTTTTACTCACACTTTTTTCTGTTTTTCACGCAATCATCTTTTTTTTTGTTTTTTGAACTCACATAAACAAGTTTTCGAAATTCTAGGTTTTTTGTTGTTTATTTACAATTACAATTTAAAAACATTCTACATTGAATGAGTAAAGTATTTTAATAATAGCAGTGTGAAAGAGTATAGATAGTAAAGGCAGAGTAGAAACAGGAAGAAGAAGAAGAAGAGGAAGAGAGGAGGGGAAAAAATTAATAAATAGGTGTGATAAAAATAATAAAATGGGAAAAAGAAGAAGAAGAAGAAGGAGGAGGGGGTGGTAGTATTTTACAGTAGAGCATTGGGGGGGAAAGCAGTGGAAAATTACAGAGGACTTAGAAAAGAACCAGGGCTTCGGAAAGGGTGGGGAATCATAGGGGCGGGTTAATTTAAGTACATACACACACTCAATCGTCCCCTTAAGCAGCAGTTTAGCCGACGGAAAGCTGCGGCCCGGGCGAGGCGCCGCCGCNAGGGGGGAATCATAGGAGGCGAGTTAATTTAAGTACATACAAACACTCAATTGCCAGCTTAGCCGACGGAGAGTTGGGGCCCGGGCGAGGCGCCGCCGCTGCCGGCCGAGGCGCCCGAGNTAATAAAATGGGAAAAAGAAGAAGAAGAAGAAGGAGGAGGGGGTGGTAGTATTTTACAGTAGAGCATTGGGGGGGAAAGCAGTGGAAAATTACAGAGGACTTAGAAAAGAACCAGGGCTTCGGAAAGGGTGGGGAATCATAGGGGCGGGTTAATTTAAGTACATACACACACTCAATCGTCCCCTTAAGCAGCAGTTTAGCCGACGGAAAGCTGCGGCCCGGGCGAGGCGCCGCCGCTGCCGGCCGAGGCGCCCGAAGCGGGCGTCGCCACGCCCGGCGTGGCCCCAGTTGGGGCGTTTCCGGCGCCCGAAAGATTAACACCTGGGGTGTTACTTCCCCCGCCGTTTCCACCTCCGCCTCCCTCACCAGGCTTCGTCTCGATGTTCTTCAGCAGCGTCACCAGCCAGTTCTTGGTGGTGCGGTCGTCCTTGAGGCAGGCGGCGAAGGTGGCGTTCTTCAGCTGGTCGGGCAGGCACTGGCGAAGCGCCTCCCGCGCCCGGGGATTGTCCGAGAGGCGGAGGTAGCAGCGAATGACGTGCTTCAGCAGGCGGGCGGACTGCTCCTTCGAGAGGGCGATGACCATCTTGGCGAGGATCATCGCCACGTGGCTGAAGCGGTCGTACGTCTGGCAGATGTAGTTGAGGCCGGTCTCGTCGAGGAGGATCTTCTGGAGGATGAAGGTGGCCACGGTCTTCGAGAGCTCCGTGCCCGACTCCATGATCCGCAGACAGAGGGGGATGATCTCCGTCTTGAGGAGGAAGTTAATGACCTCCTTCTCGTCGGTCTTCACCAGCGCCCCGATGACGCCCAGCGAGGTGAGGCGCAGGTACTCGAAGGGGCGCGTCTTCGAGCTGGTGTTCATGTTGAGGAAGGGGTAGAGGAAGAGGGGAATGTTCGCCTGGAGGAAGACGGCCCGGGTCTCCGGGTGCGAGGCGACGCACTGGAGGAGGGCGAGGGCGTTGCAGACGCGGTTCGACTGGTGGGCGTTGAGGGTGGGCGGGTGGATGGTGGGGTAGACGGCGATGATCTCCTGGAGGAGGGCGGCGATGGCGCCGAAGGAGTGCCAGAGCATCACCGCCAGGTCGGCCACCGTCTCCCGGCGGCGACTCAGCTCCATGAGGGCCGCCTCGCGGGTCTCCGTCTGCAGGAGGTCGGTGATGCACTGGCAGATCTTCTCCGCCTCGGCGGAGCCGGCCACCAGCGGCTGGGCGGTGATGGTGCCGCTGCCGGGGACAGGGCCACCGACGCCGCCGATTAGGTTGGAGCTGTTGGAGTTGTTGGAGTTGCCGCCAGTTACCAGGCCGGAGAGGAGGCCGCTGAGCTGGGCGCCCGGCGTGCTGCCGCTGCTGCTGTTGTTCCCGTGGCTGCCGGCAGTGAGGTTGGCGTTGACGTTGACGTTGGCGTTGGTGGCGCCCGAAGAGGAGTGGACCACGCCGGCGGCCATCTGCGCCAGCGTGTTCAGCTGACCGGGATTTGATTGCTGCTGCTGCTGCTGCTGGACGGACATTGTTGTTCTTGTTATTGCTAGAGTTGTTAGGTGGTAATCAAGGGTGATGGTAGTGCTGTTTCGCCAGTTGTAAAAGTGTTGGTGGTGGGGTGACGGTGGTGGTGATCACAGATCTTCTTCTGCCGCTTTATATATTTACCTGGTTTCCTGCTGCTGATGGTGATGATGATGATTGTTGGTTTCTTGCCGAGAGTTTCTACTTTGTGCCGCTGCTGCTGTTGCTGTGTTTTGCTACAGTGCTACAGTGCTGCTGCTTCTCCGTGTGCTTGATTCAAAGTCGACTAAAGTGGGCGGCAGCGCCCCTCAGCTGCCCCATCTTTTTCACAGCAGCGCTGCTTTCCGCGCCTGACCGTGAAAGAGCGCGCGACCCCGGGAAGGGTTGCAGCGCCCGCGCGCCTTTTTCTGCTCCCGTGCACTACGCCGTCCGGAGATGACGTAGTGCTGCTGCTGCTTTATCTGCAGCAGCTGTTGTTTTCCTTCTAAAAGGCTGTACAAGAGGAGGCAGCGTACGACACGTTCATATTATTTGTGATACTGCTGCAACTTTTACCCAAAGTTTTTTACGTCCACTTGTTTTACTCTTCTTTTCATTCTTGAACCACTGAACTAATTGCTCAAGCGGTGAACTGATCTTCAGCTTCAGCGTCCAAGATGCTGGAGAGCTTCGCCGCCTGGCTGCTGAACACCTACATCGGCGACTACTTTGGCAATGTCAACACGGACCAGCTGCGAATGTCACTGCACAGTGGTAAGTGCATCTTTTAGAAGATCTTGTTTTTAGTGGTGCAAGTGTACCAGATTCTGACCTACCTTTTTTCTAGGCGAAATCGAGCTCGAACGACTGCCCCTGAAGCGTGATCTAATCAAACACCTTGGACTGCCTCTTGAGGCGAGCACGGGTAAGAGCATTCGAAGATGTTTTTCTATTTGTAAGCCCTTGACTGACTTTCCTAACTTTATTCCTTCAAGGCTACATCGGCAAGATCTCCATCAAGTTCCCGCGATGGCACCTCTTCACCTCGGAGCCGCTGGTGATCACCATCGACGAGCTGTACCTGCTGGTGAAGCCGATCACCAATTTCACGGTAATAAGCGATTGATTTGATTGATTGTTTTGATTGATGTCATCTGATCACTGACTGACGTGTTTCTATTTCTATTTCTATTTCCACCCACCCCTCTAGTACAACGAAGAGGAGGAGAATCGCGCCCAGCAGGAGTTCAAGATGTCCCAGCTCGACATGCTGGAACAGCGTTGGAAGGCACTCCACGAGGAGGAGTCCCAGAACTCCAGCTACTACTCCAGCTCGTACAGCAGCTGGCTGCGGGTGGCCAACTACGGCTCCTCCTTCTTCACCAACATCCTCCTCAATGTCCACCTGAAGGTGAGCTCGATTCACCTGCGCTACGAGGACCAGGCCACCATCCCCGGCTGCCCCTTCGCCACCGGCGTCCTCATCCGCTCCCTCTCCGTCTGCTCCACTGACGAGCACTGGACGCCGAAGTACGTGACGCGGGAGGCGCTCGCCGACCAGCACCACAACCTCCTCTTCAAGGCGATCGAGCTGGAGAGCTTTGCCGTTTACTTTGACACCGACACCGGCCTCTACCAGAACCCAAAGGATAAGACCTCTGCTCAGCCACCGCTCTCGAGCCTCGTCGAGCACATGCGCGCCAACGTGGAGCGAAATCGAAGCCCCACCGGGGCCCTCTTCGACCACAACTACATCATCGCCCCGGTGAACGGCCGCGCCCACCTCAAGCGCAACAGCTCGGAGCTGAGTCTGAAAAGCTGCCGCTCCCCGCGCACCGTCATCGACGTCCAGCTGGAGCAGGTGCCCATAATGATGACCGCAGTGCAGTACAAGCACCTCCTCGACTGGAGTCTCGCCTTTCAGACCTCGAAGACACTGTGGCGCTACCGAAAGTGGCGGCCGATGATTAGTCGGCGAAGTAATCGAAGAAGTCGGCGGCAACGGCTCAAGTCGAGGTCGAGCAGAAGTCGGACGGTTTCGATTGAGGAGGGCTTAAACCTCGAAGCTGAAGAACTTGAAGAGGAGGAGGAGGAAGAGTTTGAAGAAGAGGAGGAGGATGAGGAGGAACCTCGACAAAATCGAAGCTCCTCCTGCCGACCCGGCTTCGACGCCCGCACCTGGTGGCACTTTGCCGTCAACGCCAACCTGGAGGAGTACCGCCAGCGACGGCAGCGCTTCAACTGGGCCTTCATCCTGCGCCGGGCCCGGGACGTGGTCGCCTACCATTCCGCCTACCTCCACTACCTGATCACCCCGGAGCTGTACGGGAAGGAGATGCGGGCGGTGAAGGAGAGGGTCGAGGCGGAGCTGTCCCTCGATGAAATCTGCTCCATCCGCGAGGTGGTCTTTGCGGAGAGCGACCGCCTGCTGAGGGAGCAGCAGCAGCAGCAGCAGCAGCAGCTCAAGCCGTACGGCTCGGCGGAGGTAGAGGTGGAGACCTCGGTGCCGGAGAATGCCGTCCAAAGTGGCTCCTGGTTCTTTCCCTACTCGCTCCTCTCGAACATGTACTACAGCTATGGAACTTCCTCTTCTTCTTCTACTGCTCAGCCTTCTCAGTCAACCGAAGTGTCACCAACGGAACAAAAAGAAAGTGCTGAGGAGGCGAAAGAGGTGAAGAAGAAGAAACATCGCCGAAATCTGTCCACCTCCTCCACTGGCTCCTTTGGCACCCCCGGCACCGATGACATCTTTTTGCTGCGGGACGCCGTCTTCTGTCAGTTCAACTTTCAGATACGCAATAGCAGCTTTCAGCTGATTGCCTTCAACTCACTGGATGGAGGTGAAAGTGGAGCGAGCTCTTCAGCGGCAAACAGCAGCAGCAGCAGCAGCAGCGGCAACCTCCTCCTCGAGTTTGAGTTCAACAAGATGGCCATCGGCGTGGACATTACCAACCCGAACGCCTACGCCTGCGTCTGCCACATGAACCAGGGCTGGCGGCGGAGGGCTCAGCAGCCGCAGCAGCAGCAGGACCCTAAGCAAACCTCACCCTCGAAGGCCTTTCTCACGCAGAACGAGCTCAACATGCTGCAGTTCAACCTCGCCTTTGAGTGCCGCCACCTGGAGCTGACGCTGCTGCGGACGGAGGGCGCCCCGATCATCAGCAGCGGCGGCGCCGGCTCGGCCGAGGCCTCGCGCCTCGCCACCGCCCAGCTCACCGGCTGCGGCCTGGTCTTCGTCTTCAGCAGCCACTTTGTCTCCATTGACGGGCGGCTGGACAGCCTGGAGATTCTCGATCTGGTCGGCGCGGGATCGGAGAACCGACATCGAAGGGTGCTCAGCATCGGCGCCGCTGGAGCTTTTGAAGAGGAGGAAAAGGAAGTGAAAGAGTCGTTGGAGATGGTCGTCACGGAGGTGGTGGCCGCAGCCGCCTCCTCGGGAGAGGACCGAAGTTTTAGAGGAGGAGGTTTTCAGAATACTTCCTCTGAGCTGGAGAAGGCCTTCAGCTTTGGCCTGAGCCGGACCTTCACCGAAAATGTCCTCCGCCTGAACATCCTCATGGCCAGCTTCGTGTACGTGCACTCGCCGGTGCTGGTGGCGGAGATCAGCCGCTGTCGGGAGTGCTTCAGCGACGTCCTCGAGGCGTACTTCTCCCGGAGCTTCAAGGAGCGGGTCAAAGCGGCCACCACGGAGATGCTGAGGGGCATTGTCAAGACCACCACCGCCAATGCTTCCAGTCCTTCTGCAGATAACTCCACTTCCGGTGATACAAGCAAAGGTGACGGAAGTTTCAAGACCGAGCTGGGACCGAGGACCGCTCAGAAGTTGTCTTTGGGGACGAAGGGAGTTCGAGGAGGAGGACCTGTGGCGAGGCAGAAGCCGAAGAGTCAGCAGGTTTGTTTTTCGTTTGATGTTTTTTGTTTTTGTTTTTTTACAATCATAACCTTTTCCCCCCATTTAGATCTCCCCCTTCATCGACAACTTCAAGCTGAACATCTTTATCAGCTCGCCGGTGATCATCTTTCCCATCTCGCCGGCCAGCTACGAGGTGGTCGTCTGCCACCTGGGGCACATGCTCCTCAACAATCACAGCCACTCGTCGGAGCTGATGATGTCCTCCTCCTCTTCTAAAAAGAACAGCCGATCTCAGGTGANTACGAGGTGGTCGTCTGCCATCTGGGGCACATGCTCCTCAACAATCACAGTCATTCGTCGGAGCTGATGATCTCCTCTTCTAAAAAGAGCAGCCGATCTCAGGNCCCCATTTAGATCTCCCCCTTCATCGACAACTTCAAGCTGAACATCTTTATCAGCTCGCCGGTGATCATCTTTCCCATCTCGCCGGCCAGCTACGAGGTGGTCGTCTGCCATCTGGGGCACATGCTCCTCAACAATCACAGCCACTCGTCGGAGCTGATGATGTCCTCCTCCTCTTCTAAAAAGAACAGCCGATCTCAGGTGATGATGATGAATGGAGGGCTGAAGTACAGCACATTTAGTTCGCCGAACATCAGCTCCAGCTCGGCGAATTCAGCATCAGGAAAGTCCACCACCTCCACAAACTCCGACTCGTACAATGCGGAGATTCGCGACCTGAGCGTCTACTCGCTGGACTGCGCCCGGAACATTGCCGCCTTTGAGGAGCTCAGCCTTCAGCAGGGAGGAGGAGGAGGAAAAACTCCTAAAGAAAAAGGAGTTCGAGGATTGTGCAGTGAGGCGATGCCCATGGCGGAGCTCTACGCCTGCGAGCCCTTTGGCGTGCCCATCCTCTCCAAGACCGTCGTGGAGATTGTCCTCGAGAAGAAGGTGCTGATGAGCTCGCTGATGACCGAGGGAACGGGAACGGGCGCCTACGGACGACCGCTCAGCTCGAGGCTCTCCACCAGTCCGCAGCCACCACCTCACCAGAAGAGGTCGAGCAGTGAAGTGAGGTCGCTTCCGGTGGTGCCGAAGACGAGCACCAGC